ATGTGTGCCTCTCCGAGACACAAAAGGCAAAGAGCATGCTTGTCCGAATCAGGGATCTTCTTCGGACAATTCACGCATCTTTTGAAGCGAGTTGTTGACATAATATTGTCGAACATCTCGAAGAAACTCTATCAGAATCACTATCCAGCAATATCCAATAGAAGTACCGAAGCGAGCCGTGCGGCGGAAAAAAAGGAATTGGATCGGTGTGCGCGGGGCGCCCTTTTATCCCCTGCCGGGGCTGGGCGGGGTTACCGCCAAAACTTGAAAAGTTTTAAAATGTAGAAGTTTCCGTTGGAGCCCGCGCAGGCGCAGTCTCTCCACAAGTGTGCATTCGCAGAGACCACGAAGAAAAAATCAAGATAGCATAATGTCATGGTTTGTATATTGAACTAATAGTCCAAGAGAACAGGGTTCAGATTCCCAGTCAGTGGTGGAAACTCACTGATGTTGAATACTGTCCCAGCCTCAGAGGAAGGCAACAAAACCCTCTTCTAAAGAAGTCCTGCCAAGAAAACCCTGTGATACAGTTCTCATAACTCAGAAACAACTTGAAGGCACACCATCAACTCAACAAGGATGTATTGATATTCTGTTAGCCAAACACATACATTGTATAGTTGCTAGTGTCATTAGGCTTGATTAGCTTTATTTGTCTGTGACACATTACAAAACACTATAATAATATAGTATATCTGTGAAAACTGACCAAAGGCAACTGGAAGAGCAGGAAAGTTCATACCCATCCCTGTTTGATAGTACGTGTGCATATAGCATTACCCTTGACTGCCGTCTTTGAGTGATAAGGGTTTCCACTCAATTTCCAAATACTACAAAAGAGAATTCAGGAGAAGAGGAAGACTCCCAGGAACACAATTCAATGCAATACATGTAATATGCTTACCCATTTTCTAGAAAAGTGATGCAGTAGTCCTCCATAGTTTCATATTGTAAGAAACCGTCTTTAAATGCTTTGCTTCACTTCTTATACTCAGGCATACAAAATCTGATACATATAGATGCATCCTCCAAGCACTAGGTCTTCTATACTCATGAAAATATGAAGGCAGTTTCTTATGTAAGAAAAGTATGCACAGGCAAAGGTGAACTGAAATATATGAGAAGCTTTCTTCAAATAAGAACTATGGTTGCACCTTGAAACATTCAGAAGATTCAGCATTTGACAGCAATGCACATTATTACTAAGTGTCATGACCAAATATATTTTCTTAGTTGGTAAGAAAAAATAGGGAACTTAAATGTGTCATTCATAACATTTACTTCTCGATTTCTTACTATTGCTTTCAAATCACAAACAGAATCATAACTGACAGACAAAATTTTAAAGCATTCTAAATGTCACTGGACCTTTTAATAGAATTAATTAGCCTGCCACAGAGAAAATTTACGGCCCTGCTGGTTAATTTCACCAAGTAAAATCATGGGGTTAGAGGTAGAAGGAAAGAAACCTTATTACTTTTAAATAATTATTTAAAGATGTGTGTCTTGCCTATTTCAAACTTCATAGGCAGGGGAGGGAGAACTCAGAAAGAGCCTTTAAAATCTTAAATTGTGACTGGTCACGTCTCTTTTTATAGGTAAGGAAGTCTACACTGCTGAAATTAAAAGATATCATATACCAGCTATTAAACATTCAGTGGACGCACAAGAATCAGCAGGGCCCTAACTGAGAGTTAATATTCTTACTATGATTATAACTGAAGCAAATAATTGACATTTAAGATACAAAGGTGAACTGAAATTATATGCCTCGCAAACGTACCTTTGTAGGTCTAACCCTAAACCTAATCCTAACACACACACACACACACACACACACCCTCCGAAGAAATTAAACCCCCTCAGACATTCTGCTATATTACAGACAAAATATTAAAATTTATTGGAAGCAATTCATTCTGGAAATCCCCTAAGATTTTAATTCCAAATGAACATTTTAACATAATACAAATACATAACCCAAATTCAAATGGAAAGTGTTATAATAGTTATTTTATACTGTAGTGTTATGCTTATTGAGTTATCTCATCAATCTCTGGCAATTTGAGGAAAAATAAATAAGTGATGGATGAAATACTAGATGTATGGCATTCTGACAGAGATTCTCACAGTTTCTTGGGTTCCCTCGCCCCATATATTTCTGAATATCTTTGTTGTGGGAGGTGATATATGTAAGAATTATCACTTAAATTAGAAATAGCTGATCTACATCAATCGATGATAAAAGCTGAGGTCCTAAGCATTATTTCAAGTGCTAAGCTTCCTTATGACTCCACAGCACACAGTCCCATATATTTCTTTCCTGTTTAAAAATCTAACAACCCCAGCAGGTATGGTCATAAAGACAGAGGATGGGCATCCATAAAGCTGCTAGTAAAAATGTAATGTTGAAGGTATCTATCTCTCCCATATACATCTACTGTACTATCCTCTAAATACCTCCAAAGCAGGAAAAAAAACAGAAAAACAGGTTCTCTCTTTGTCTGTAACAGTGGTTCCCATACATTTTTGACCAAGGACCACTTGACCAGGGACTACTTGACCAGGAACCACTTTAACCAGGGACCACTCTCCAGCATTAGTACCAAACTGATTACGAATCAGTTTTTGGTCAACTTTACATTTGGTTTGGGGTGCTGATTCCGAAAATTGCATTGGATAGACCATATCAGCTCTAGTTTCTGATACAGAACATATGCCATGGTCAGCAACAGGGAAGGAGGGCAGGCAGGGCAAAATGAGTGGCAATAAAATAAATAAAACAACAAAAATTTAAAAAAGAGGAAGGAGGCTCACGGACCAGATTTAGCAATGGAACAACATTTCTGGAAATCCCTCAAAGGGAAAACTTCTGCTTCTCTCTGTTGACCTTTTTAGGCTCCTATTGAAGAAGATTCTTTTTCAGATGGCCTTGTGACTTCTGACTTTTCAAGGGGCATCTTCATAGTAGAATTAATGCAGTTTGACACCACTTTAACTCCCATGGCACAATGCTATGGAATTCTAGGAGTTATTCTAAAGTCTTCAGGCTTCTCTGCTAAAGAGTGCTGCTTCCTCATCAAACTACACATCCAAGGATTCCATTGGCATTGAACCATTGCAGGTAAAGTGGCGTCAAACTGCAATCAAGTACAAATTTTGATTGTATATGTCTGCATTATATATTGCCTGTCCTGATGTTGAGAACTGTAACTGGCCATCTATCTATCTATCTATCTATCTATCTATCTATCTATCTATCTATCTATCTATCTATGCACCTATCTATGCACTCCAGTAGTTTCATTTCTCACTCTGTGTTTCACATCCGATGTAGATGAAATATTCAAGTAAAAGGGAAGATGCTTCCTCTATTCTTAATTGTTGGTTTTTTCTGTTCATGGCAACAGCAATCCAAGTTAACATTAGTATGTTATTCTGTCTTTTCTACAGCTATACTAAATGTGGATGATTCAATAGTTGACCTAGAAACACTGGAAGCACTGTATGAGAATGTAAGTATCAAAGAATTCTCAGTTCACAAATAGAAGTGTCATGTAAAAACACATTCCATATTATTAGTGCCTTTTATTCTCTTTATCTAACGCATATCATTCTACAACAGAAAGGCTGGTTCTGTTGTTGTAGTCATCCTTCACCTCCTCTTTCCTCCCTTCTTAATTTCTTCTTGGAAGTTTCTTTAACAGTGTTCTTGCGTGGTTAGGATTGGATTAGATGGCTATTTTTGACCTTTCCTACCCTAGGATTGTACTATCTTTTCCCTGGTGCCTTTCATCCCAATGGTATTCCAGAGGCCACAGTCATGTCTGTGGTCCCTTCCACACAGCTCTGTATCCCAAAATATCAAGGCAAAACATTCCACAATATCTGCTTTAAACTGGGTTATCTACATCTACACTCAGATAATGTGGGATTTTCTGCCTTGATATCCTGGGATATAGGGTTGTGTGGAAGGACCCTGTGTGTTCATGAAGCTTGTGGACCATGTATTGCCTATTCCTTTTCTATATCTTCCATGGCCCTTGTCAAATCTGTGGCCCCATTATGTATTTCATCAAAATGTATCAGAATGCTTAATAACTATTGCTAAGAGCAACATTTGTTGTGCTTTGCTCTATATTGTTGAACATGGTAGGCATGGTAGGACTAACTATATTAAATGAAATAAAAACCAATCAATCACTTATTTAAATTATGTCCTTCCTCAGAGTAAGACATTACTTCTATTTAAAAAATAATTAGAAAAAGACAAATTTCAGTCAATTTTTAGGATGAAAGAAAAGAGAGAACATTTTGGAATAATGTTTTCAGAATAATGTTTTGGCAAGAAATGTATGAATTATGTTTTTGGCAAGAAGTGCATGACTTTTAACCCTTTACACAGCCACCCAAGTCTTATTTTGGTACAGCCTTACAGAAGGCTCATCAGAATATAAATAATGTTCAGGTATACATTTCAATATTTATCGTCATGAATTAGAGGTATTTGTAACAAGGAAGAATGTGATTTTTTTTGGTCATCTGATGTCACGTATGAAGACTGCTGTATAATTTTAGTACTGTATGTAACAGCTTTTTAAAACAGAAGAGCTGACTTAGTAAGCGTATTGCCTGAAAACAAATTTTCTCTTCTGGTTCAAGAAGTACAAGTCAGTGGGTGCTGCATTTATGGTCCTCTGATTTCTGTTGGTGGATGAGGATCACATGTGCTGACAACACATTTTGGTGCTTTCAGTTTGACTACATCATTCCTGTTGCATGAAGCTGAATGATTATATCAAGTACTCTCCCCTTCCCAGCCCTATTCCAAAGATGCTGAATCAAGTATTTCCACCCCAAAGAGAGTAAGAATTAAAATCAAATGGCTGTTTTTCATTGAAATTGCAGAGAGCACAGAAGGATGAACTGGAGAAAATAAAAAAACATTATGCGACTTCCAAAGAAGAAGAAGTAAAACTTCTAGACAAACCAGAACAGTAAGTAGTGTGGGGAGAGGTGTCTTACCATGCTTTCCTGTCATTTAAAATCAGAAATGGCTTAGCATTGTGAAGTAGTTCAAAGAATTCTAGTGTGCTGGCTTGTGAAATAGTTATACTGATGTTCTATGGCTTGTACCTAACACTGATCCAAAGCCTTACTTGATGGCATTGGCCTAGACACTTGCTGAAATAATCAAAACACAAAGGTTCAAAAAAATTATCCAGCTCATTCCACTGATGAATATACTCCCAGTAATTCTAACCTCATGCAAATATTTTGGGTCTATTGTTATCTGAATATAAGAAATGCGGATTTTTATAATAAACACGTTAATCCAATATGAGTAAGTGCTGGATCCATTTAGCACCTAGTTTGGTGTTCTTGTCTAGCTAATGAAACAACTTCTAGATGCTAAGCCATCTAGCATGGAAAGACAGGTTTATTTTGTTTCTCCAGGACATAGATTTCAAACAGATCATCTAAGTCATATAAGGCAGGGCATCTAAGAAGATCCATAGCAAGATTACTTCTCATATAGACATTGAGGTCAAGGCTTCACAAGGAAAGTGGAAGCAGCTATGAAATGGAATCAGCATTCCAGTTCAGTTTAATGTATGCATGCAGATGATAAAGAGCTGATACCCTCTGTGTCAGCAGATGCTTTTATGATTCATAACGTTAATCCTAGCAAGTCCTTGAAACAGCCAGTTAGGAATAACAGCCAAGGTCTTCACATCCCTGCACTAAGCAGCTAATCTTCACGCAAGCAAAATATTATTGAACTATGTAATTACAGACAGTACTGAAATTTAAATTTGGGAGAGGAATGCCTTAGTAATTGATTAATTGAGGAGCAGCCTAAGGAGATGGGCATGTTTAGCCTGAAGAAGAGAAGGCTGAGAGGAGACATGATAGCAATGCATAAATATGTATAGAAGAAGTCATAGGGAAGAAAAAGCAAGCTTGTTTTCTGCTGCCCTGGAAACTAGGACACAGAACAATGTCTTCAAACTACGAGAAAGGAGATTCCATCTGAACATTAGGAAGAACTTCCTGACTGTGAGAGCTGTTCAGCAGTGGAACTCTCTGTCCCAGAGTGTGGTGGAGGCTCCTTCTTTGGAGGCTTTTAAACAGAGGCTGGATGTCCATCTGTCAGGGGTGCTTTAGACATGATTTTCCTGCTTCTTGGCAGGGGGTTGGACTGGATGGCCCACAAGATCTCTTCCAACTCTTATGATTCTATGATTCTATGACAGACACAAATAGGATTGTTCTGTAAGTACACAGAATACATTGCAGTCATTGTTTCTTTCATCTTTACAAGAGCCATTCGTTTTATCTGCCAGAGCAATATTAAACTATTATTGCTTTAATAGCTGAGACAAAACGTAAAATTAAGTCCCACAGTGCAACATACTCACTACCAATTGTATTTATGATTGCCATCAGAAAATGACTGATTGGCCACAGACTAGCCACAGGGGTTCATGTTCAGGCATGGAAAGAACCTCACTCTCCTGATGATACAGAATTATCGAAACTGTTTCCAGCAGGGGTCAGTGTCTGTCTCACTTCTTAGACTTTCTCTCTCATAACATTTGCCACAGTTTATGCAGTTGTGCTAGTTTGAAATCTTGAGCTGATATATCTTCATCTATATGTGTTTTTAAATAGCAAGATGTGTAATACTGTGTTTTTATTAAAATGTAAACCATGCCAAAATTAAACACATCATTTAATGAAGGGAAGGGAAGAAAACAGGTATCTTGTGACACCTTTGAGAAATTTTGTTTCGGCACAAACTTTTGTGGACTACAGCCCACTTCTTCAGATTTATTCTTAATAATTGTTACAGAAGAGTTCAGATCAAGTTATACAGAATGCTTTAGTGATATAAATATATATCTATTGTTTTTATTTCTACAGGTTTTTATATGAGTTATCTCAGATCTCCAATTTTGCAGAACGTGCCCGATGTATAATCTTTCAGTCAGTCTTCAATGAAGGGATGACTGCAGTGCACCGTAAAGTTGATATTGTTAATCGAGTTTGTAAGGTAGGTCATTGGTGGCAAACTAAGACTAGGTTAGCCTGAACTTTGCCGTGGTTAAAAATCATTGCAAGTTCTAAGCATTTCCATAGTAATATAACTTGTATTAAAAGTCAAATGCCTTTAATGTTTTAATGTAATTGCTAAATTTATTAACTAAAATGCACAAGCAGTCATTTGAAATGGAAATCTTTTTTAAATTGTTGCAATGTGTTATCAGTTATAGTAGAAACAAGGAATGTTTTAGACTCATCTATAAAAACCTATACCATAATATGGATGCTACCTTTTTGGTGTTTCAAATAACCATTTATTTTTCAGGAGTTGCTGACCATGAAGAGTGTGAAAGACATTCTAGGTTTGATTCTAGCATTTGGAAATTACATGAATGGTGGAAACAGGACACGTGGTCAAGCAGATGGATTTGGTTTGGAAATACTTCCCAAACTGAAAGATGTTAAAAGTAGAGTAAGTACCTGAGTTCTGTTGGAATTTTGTTAAAATCAGTACTTTAATTTAAGGATGAGCACTCTATGAGAAGGAAATATTTGTATTATTCCACTGCTTATGAACTTGTATTTATTTATTTATAATTTATTTATTTACTTTATTTGTATACCGCTGTTCTCAGCCCTTAGGTGACTCACAGTGGTTAACAAGAACAGCAATACTACAACAACACGGTATATAAAAAGCAATTAACATCATAAACACATTAACAGTTAACAACAATAACCATCCACTGATGTCTCATAACTAAAAACATGATCCAGATTCGTCATCCATTGTTCCATTCCTATGTTCATTACAATCATTGCACTTTCTATTCAAACGCCTGTTCAAATAACCAGGTTTTCAACTTTTTGCGGAATACCATTAATGATGGAGCCGATCTAATGTCCGTGGGAAGGGCGTTCCACAGCCGAGGGGCCACCACCGAGAAGGCCCTATCTCTCGTCCCCGCCAGCCGTGCTTGTGAAGCAGGCGGGATCGAGAGCAGGGCCTCCCCGGATGATCTCAAAGCCCTAGTGGGTTTATAGGCAAAGATGCGATCAGATAGGTAAGTTGGGCCGGAACCATTTAGGGCTTTAAAGGCCAACGCCAGCACTTTGAATTGAGCCCGGTAGCAAATTGGTAGCCAGTGGAGCTGGCGCAACAGGGGGGTTGTATGCTCCCTGTGCTCCGCTCCTGTTGTACACAAACTTTTGTGGAAATATTTCAAAAACATAAACACTGGAAGCCTTTTTTTCACGTGCTGTACTTTGAATCCAACCGTATATATTTTTAGCAATTAATGTGGGCAGGCCTGTAGCGAGGGGGTGGTTTTAGGGGTTCAACCCCCCCCCCCCGAAATGTTTCAGATTTTTTAAAAAAACCTAGTTTACTCATGAATATTAACTGGTTAACCTAATCCCCATGCTAAGTCTATGAGATGCAAAAAATTAAGAGTCCCTCCAGAACTGCCAGCACTATCTCAAGCAAATATTGACAATTTATTCACACTGTCACTACTTGCAGCAATAGCCGATGTAGTGAAGCAACTAAGTTGTGTGTGTGTGTGTTGAATGCTCTCATTAAGGAGGCCAGACTTGGTGGAGGTGGCTGACAGGGGCGGAGCTGCAGGCTATTGAAGTCTGCTCTGCCCCCTGCTGTGCTCTTTGCTTCAGCGTGAGCTAGGAGGCAGGTTTCAACCCCCCCCCCCCGAAATTGTCAACCCTCCCCGAAATTTTTTTCTGGCTACGGCCCTGAATGTGGGTGCTAGAAATGCCTCCTGAGTTTTGGTCATTCCATTTTCTGTGGAGAAGTGTGAAAATTCCCCTCAGTTAGTTCTTTTCCTCATTAGTTTCCTGACATTTTAAAAATACAGTTTTTCAAATATTTTCAAACATTATTTCCATTCTTAATGGGTTGTAAATATTAAGCATGTGGCCCAGTTGCCATAGGATTTATTTCATTATTTATAATAAACAGTGACTGTATAGGTTGTCTTGCTACAAATAACAAGAAATTTGAAATACTTGAATCCTAAATTAAATACATCTTCTACAAGTATGTTGCATAGCTAAATCCTATACCAGTGACATTTGGTATGCTATTCAAAGAAAATGCACACTTCAAAGGCATTCCACATATAATACATTTCAATGTCTCTCTCTCTGTGCTTTTTAATAATTTCCTGCTACTAGTGACTTATACTTAAAGTACAGTTTATCCTTCTTCCTAGTTAAACTTGACTAAATTGATTCAGTAACTCATGTAGTAGCAGATCAATGTTAATCTAGTATTGTGAGAGAATTAATATAGAATTTTATTTAGCATAAATTGCTAGCTTTTGCTGAAATTTTTATTTGCTCAACTGTTGCAAATCCTACATATGCTTTATTTCTCTATCACATAGGATTACTAACAATTTCAGGCATCCAGGTCACAGGATCAATAAAATATGGTCGGGTGATATAGAATTTTGTTTAGTGATAAGGGCTATCTAATTTTTTAAAAAAGGTATGAGTTAATTTTGAATTTTGCTTCTAGAAAGCAACTCAGTTAGATTGATATTAAAACTAAAATTATTGACTTGAATAGGATTTTCTCTTATTAATTAAACGAACCTCAATTCTAAGGAGACAGAAAAGTTTGTGTTAACTAGCTGTTTCTTTACTCGTGCCTAGTTCTTTTTATTTTTGAAAAATAACTTCCCTTTGGGTTGTTGTGAGTTTTTTGGGCTGTATGGCCATGTTCCAAAAGCATTCTCTCCTGACGTTTCATCTGCATCTATAGCAGGCATCCTCAGAGGTTGTGAGGTCTTCCCTTTTTTGTTAACTCTTCATGATTGAGGAAACTACAGTGTTTAGGTCACAAAACTCAGATCTTATACTCAAGTTTAATTCCAATGAACTGGACTGAAGGGTTTTCAAAGTTTGTAGTCTAACCAATGTTTTCCCACCCTGTTTCTAAAAATAATACAAACAATAAAAGAGTCATATTTCTGGAAGACTTCAGAAAGTTACAGAAACCCATGAAATCCATGTGAAATAAAGACCTCCCCCACCCCTAAAAAAAGACAAATAAGAACACCATTTTAGGCAACCTCCTCTTCTAGCTTACAAACATCTTTGTCTTGTAGATATGTCTCTTCTAATATCCCAGGTCATTAAAATAGAATTCTATGAACACAAGAATGTTTTAAGTTTTACCACAATTGTAGTGAACATTCAGTGAAATGTGTAAGATTACATTGAGGAATCACTACAAACAATGTTCATGAAATCATGAAACAGAACTGAAAAAAAATGAAACTTTTTTTTATTTTGAAAAGCATTTGTTTGATGTAAAGTTTAAAAACCATGCTTGGAGTGTTGAACTGGAAGTAAGAGATCAGGCCTCAAGTCCCTACAGAACTATGAAACTTACTGGGTGACCTTGGCTCACTTACCACATTTCAGTTTAATCTACTTCAAATGTTATTTTATGTTATTTTTGTTAAATACCACCTTTAAAATGCATCTTAATTTGGCATGAGCATATTGATGATATTGCAATTGATGAGACAGTATTTGTGACACAGCTGGAATTGTTGGCAAAATTTATAATTAGAGAACTATGTACTATCCATTTGAGTAGAGGTGCTAGAAAAGAAGACTCCAAGGCTTACCATGGTGAATTACTTTAATTTTCTTTCTCTTTAGGATAGTCGTGTTAATCTTGTGGATTATGTTGTGATGTATTATCTTCGCCATTTTGACAAAGTAAGTCATTTGGTTGCATTAATTATTGTAACATGTGGGCACTTAATTTAATAATGGCATTAGCCATGATCCGTGCGTTTTATGGATTTCTGTTCACTGGAATATTCCCATTACCCTATGAAAAGGAAAGTGCACAGGAATCATAATTAAACATGTAATCCAGGATCTTGAGAATTGTTTGTGTTACTCTGTGTAATGTAAACATGCATAGGATGACAATCTCATATTAAAATATCATCTTCTATTTTTATGTTATGTGGATTTTCTATTTTGTTTTCACTTTTATGGTAACTGGATTTAATATTATATGCCTTTTTTAGGAAGCAGGAACAGACAAGAGTGTGTTTCCACTACCAGAACCTCAGGACTTCTTCCAGGCTTCCCAAGTTAAATTTGAAGACCTAATAAAAGACTTAAAGAAAATGAAGAAAGATTTAGAAGGTAAATAAGAGCTGCAGTCTATTTTAAAATATGCTTTTAACATATTGAACAGCTGAGTCTTCTGCATGTTTAGTTCACCCTTAAATCTTTGAAACTCAATTGTAATGTATTGTCGAAGGCTTCCATGGCTGGAATCACTAGGTTCTTGTGGGTTTTTTCGGGCTATAGAGCCATGTTCTAGAGGCATTTCTCCTGACGTTTCGCCTGCATCTATGGCAAGCATCCTCAGAGGTAGTGAGGTCTGTTGGAATTAGGACAATGGATTTATATATCTGTGGAATGGCTGGGGTGGGGCAAGGAGCTCTTCCCTGCTACAGTTAGGTGTGAATGTTTCAGCTGATCACCTTCATTAGCATTTGAAGGCCTGCCTGAGCCTGGGAAAATCTCTCAATTGTAATGTTATTACATGTCAAAATTGTAAACAAATTTTAGTAAAGAATGCTTTTGTAAATATCAGCATGTTGAAAAACATATTGAAGTTGTTGCGTTGGGTGCTGAGCAAATGGGGTTTTGAATTATATTTTTCTTGATGCAAATGGAGGAGACTAGTAATGAAGTTGTGTGTGTGTGTGTGTGTGAGAGAGAGAGAGAGAGAGAGAGAGAAGGAAGAAAGGAGAGCAGGAAGGAGAAAAAAAGAGAAATTCTGTTCAAAGTAGGCATACAAGTGATCACAGCATAATTTACTCTTCCAGTTATGATTAGTTGAATTATCTCATAGTCACCTTAAAGAAACTTTCAAAGGTCAACAGTGGTAAGGAAGTGCCAGTTGTTATTTATTCCATCTTGGCATACATGAGTGCTCTATCTTCTCCCATCTCTTGGCTCCGTAAAACCCTTGGTCTGCCCTCCCCTGTGTGAGTTTATGCTGAAATGCGATCTGTGTTCGATCTTCTATTTTTCAAATGTATAGTCTTGGTGCCATGCAGTAGATTCTTTTCATTCTTTCTGGCTTTGCGTCAAGACTCTGACACAGTTAGGATTTCAGTAACACTTACAAAATCAAGAAAGAACATTGCAAGACTCTTAATCTTCTAGTAATTTGAGTTGAATTTTTATACAGATGGGAGTTGCTTTTTTAAAAAACCTACTTTGATGATTTCATAGAAGATTGGAAATAATGTTTGCAGATTTTCCATGTGACTTTATTGTATATTTCCTTTAAAGAAGTAGCACTGATGAAATTTTAAAACTATATTTAGTCAATGAAGCTCTGAGTAGTAGGAATATGAAGGAGCAGGTCACTTTCTCCAGAGAAATCCATGTGTTCCTAGAATAATAAATCACAAGTTTAGATACACAAGCTGCTCAATTAACAGATTTCTTTAAGTGGCAGAAGAGTTAAGTGTCTTTGGGTGGAAGAGACTTACAGATGTCCTACTCAGACCCATATACAGAAGTTAGAAATATTACTTTTATCTAATACAATTTCCAGAATTCCTAAATCAGCATGGGCACCAACAGTGTCCAATTCTGGGAGCTGTATGCAAAAAAATGTAAATTTTGTTAGCACTGGAAGTTTTGTTTGTGTGTTGAGTAGTTGCAGATACTGTTCCTCCTGACTTTGGACCAGCACTATAAGTTTTATGGTTTTAATACACATTTTCAGAAAGTGAAGATTCTCTCGAACCCATATTTATAGAGACAAAATTGCTTGAAGCTGTATGAGAAGATCCTCAATGTATTTAGGCCAAATTCAGGAAGGCCCCATCAAATGCCTACTAATATTCAACCATATATACGTAATACTAACAGGAAACGAGGCAAAAAAAATTGAATTTATGATTGTCAGTGAAATTTAATTCATGCAGAAGAACATAAATATTCAATAGGCAAAAATATTTTTTTATAAATTATTCTACCACAGGCATACAATAAAGTTACAAAAATGTGTGGAAATGGAGAGAGCAGAACAGATTATAAACAGTTTGTGGAAAGGTTTGAAGAAATAGCTCCAACTGAATTTGCTCTGGATCCAATCATTATATTATTAGGGAGAGTTGAGGGTGTTATATAAAGGAAGCAAGGTGATAAAATTATAGGTAGTAGGTTATTCACCTCACACCTAGTTGCTAAAGTTATTTGAAACAGCAGTAGAGTTCACCAGCACAGGAATAAATAAAGACAATATAGAAAAGATGGAAGATATTGCTCCTAAACAGATTGAGATATAAGTCAGTAGTTCTCAACTTTTAGTCCTCCAGATGTTCAGCTCCCAAAATCTATCATTTAGCTATGCTGATGGAGACTTCTGGAAGTGCAAAGTGGTTGGAAGATTAAAGGTTGAGAAGTCCTGTTATAAGTAAATGTAGGTGTTTAAACAAAACAGGAAACTTTCAGTGTTTTGGGATTGTTTAGATTCCAGAATTGTCTTAAGCCATAGAAAGTAAGTGATCAGAGGTTTCAAATATTGTATTGTAATATACTGTCTGAAAACCTTATGGTGCTGATGTAACCATGTCAGCATAATTGGTGGCGGATGGAGGAAGAAGGCAATTGACACACTGGTGGAAAGAAAGGCATGCAATGAAGCTGTTCAGGGCAAGGAGATTGTGCTGCCTTTCCTCATTTGGAAAAACTGCCATTGCTCATGTAAGATCCCAGCAGGAATCTAGTCACTGTTTTCCTATATTTTCAGAAAATACAAAGGAAGTGGGACATTTTGACAAACTCCCATTTTAGATCTTTCAATGCACTTGAATTGTTTTGGGTTTTTTTTTTTTTTTGTAGATGTATTCTTAGACACATCTCAAGAAGGTCAACAGATTCTCTAGTGAGAAAAGATCCTGTTAGTTGAGAAAAGTGGGGCCCATCAACTTTATGTAATTCCCAAACCTAGTTTTAGTGGTCCCAGAAGCCTCTTTGCAGAAAATAAAAAAAGACATTCCTGTGCTGATTTGGGGTTTTTTTTTTCACCTATCAAAAAACCCAACCCCAAATCAATGGCAAACATGATGATTTCACTCATTAGCCCCATAGATGTCCCCAGCACCCTTCAAAATATATATTTTGAAAATAGTCCATATCTTCCTAAAATGAAAAGAAGTGATCAGAGTTGATACTCTGTCACTTCCAGTGTTTACAGCATGTATGGATGCAGCCTATGGGTACATGGTGTGAAATTTAGTCGCCAACCTTCTTTCAATTGTCCACTCCTTTCTTCCTTCTCATCACATTCTACCATGTGTGAGCAGTTGCAATTTAGCATTTGAGGGCTTTTTTCTTCATGGTTAAATTGTGTATGGTTTGCTCTGCCCAACTTGGAATGGAAGGGCAGCGGCATCTTTTCTTAGGCAAGTCAATTTTTGAAAATGTCTTCAACCAATTGTCATCTTGGAAGTGAAAACTGTTCATGGGTCTTTTCCCTTTCAATAAGTCAAAATCATTTCTTCCTGTATAATGTTAAAGACAATTTTACCTGAAATGTTTTAATCGAAGAGGATATTGTTTTAGTACATACATGAAGGATCTGATGTACCTCTGTAGTTTATGGCAATCATTAAAAGTCATGACTCTTGGCAAAATGCAAGTAAAGGCTTAAAGCTGAAACAGATGTGATCTGCAGTAGTGATGCTGAGAAACATTAGTGCCATTATTCAGGCAAGCACAGACTTTCATATATATTTTATTTGGACAATATTAACTTGAGTTACTATACACAAATAAATAACAACAACAACAACAACAATAATAATCTTTATTTCTATACCACACTATATCTCCGAGGGGACTCGGGGCAGTTTACAACAGAAAATTGGCAATGCTGGCATAACATAACAAATCAAATCATAAACAATAAACAATAGAACAACTCAAAAATAACAAACTTAGATATTTAAATATATAAATCAAACATTTAGAACATGTTTACTACTAGATCTAATGATAGCAAACACTCAAAACATTAAAAGTAAAAAGGCATTTACAAGTCAACAGGGCTGAGGTGGTGTTCAAGTCAGAGTGATTAAAGTGCTGGCCGAAGAAAATTATTATATTGCACAATTCCACAAGTTAAAAAGGACCTATAAGGGTCTATTTACCACCCCCTCCTATTCCCCCCTCCCCATAATACCCACCCCCATTCTTTATGCCCCCCCCAGAGATTCCCAGATCCTCACAATTAAGGAGTCCTCTGAATACTGTTTAAGCACAGGAATGCAACCCAGCTCTTCATGGGGGGTATAAACTGTGGTATGAGGTCCTTTGGGAGGCAGATGGGATGTGTTTTTTCTTGTGATGGTGAGGTGTCTCTATCCATATTGGTAAAAGTCCTATAGTGCCAAGATCTTATTGATTGGCTTAACATAGTTGGATTGCAAAGTAGGCTCTGGGTCTAGTGCTGGCTGTTTTATCTGCTGCTGGCGTGAGGTGAGATGGCATAGCTGTGGGGCCATGCCCAGTATGTTTGGAAAGGCTGGCCCCAGGCAGGTGTTCTAAGGTAGAGTTCTTGCCCTCTGGCTGTTTCTATAGGTAGATATGGGTATGTGTGTTTGTATATATGATGAATTTCTCAGAGTTGCTAGTTGTTTACGAGGCTACATATTTTCATCTTTGTGGATAACGTTAGCAATTTTAAATGTTGGGGATTATTGGGAAGTTTCAGGGTTTGCTGAAAGCTACTTACAGTTGTTTATAGTAGATATTCATACTTGTTATATTGTAAATATTTAAGTAATTGTGTCTTCATTGATCTTTGTTGTTGTTCATTCGTTCAGTCGTCTCCGACTCTTCGTGACCTCATGGACCAGCCCACGCCAGAGCTCCCTGTCGGCCGTTACCACCCCCAGCTCCCTCAAGGTCAGTCCAGTCACTTCAAGGATGCCATCCATCCATCTTGCCCTTGGTCGGCCCCTCTTCCTTTTGCCTTCCACTTTCCCCAGCATCATTGTCTTCTCTAGGCTTTCCTGTCTCCTCATGATGTGGCCAAAGTACTTCAACTTTGTCTCTAGTATCCTTCCCTCCAATGAGCAGTCGGGCTTTATTTCCTGGAGGATGGACTGGTT